GGTTACATGCAGTAGACCCTATGATAAGGCCATTATCTTGGAAGGTGATAAAGCATTCTCTTATGAAAAATATTATTGCTCATATTCATGCTTAGTTTTCTGACTACCATTCTGAGGGACAATAGAGCTTGGAGAATTCTGATATTGTTGCAAACCCCAGCCACCAAAACACACACTGCACTATATCATGATTATCTAATAATGTAAAACTTGATTGAGTAAATTGTTTTGTGAATTTATTAACAACAAATGTCATCCTTTCCTAGTCCTTATTGAGAAATGGAAGTATCAGAGCTTGATTGTTAAACTGCAAGAGTGCTTGTGTGTGTGTAGGGAGGAGGGAGGTAATGGCTGGACAGCGGACCTGTCGTCCAGTAAGGGTGGGTGGACTTTGCCCTATTCACCTTAACTGTAGCGGGAACTTTCGTCCAGGACTGTACATACCTGAGAGACAAGGAGGACAAATCAACACAAGTGACTACTCGTCTTTCATATGACAGTTATATACGCCCCGATGCCATATCAAGATGCCATGATGTCACATCAAGAACTTGTGTACATATTTATTTATTAATTTAACTCGGTTACAGTACACATTGAGCTATGAAAATCAGTGTTATGGGTCAGATAAATTTCTTAAGTCTATTATTGCTTGCAATCTAATCAGTGTTTGAGCTTGCAATGCAATAACTAAGTGCAAAAAGTGTGTAGACTAGCATTTGCACTTAGTACAGAATCAGTAAAACACCCACAAAGGACTAGTGACGCTCGGCCGTAAAAATTTCAGGCTTTGAGCAGTTGACAGGTTTCTCTCAAATGATTAAGGACATTCTTGAATACAAAACTGACAAAAAATTCAAGTCATCAGATTCTCTGCTAACTGTGAATCAAAACAATCTGACTTCAGTGGCAAATAGAAACTTTGTGGCCCAAATGCAGAACAGTGATTTGAAACCGCATGAAGGATTAAACCAAGGATCGAGTGAAGATTGAAAATTGTTGGTATTTAGAACGCTGGCTTGAGCCAACACAAAGATTCAAACCTGATTTGCGATTGGAATTGTCAATCCTCGCGTAAATCCAGCCTTGAGGCAGGTTTAGCGGTCGATCCTTCAAGCAAATCAACATGAATTTTGGGAGCGCGCGCGGTTTTCGGAGATATCATCAAATTGGAAATTTTGAAGAGAAGACTTATAGTAGATGGGCAGAATCCTACCAAGTTTTATGACAACTTAAACAATGATATTGGTTCAGCAAGAGATATCTCTGATATTTTCCGTGATATGGAGCATCTACTTGACAGACCTGTTGGCTATGGTTCACCTCCACCTCCCATTCATCAGCTGATGAATGCTTCGAGATTCTTCGCAACGAATAGTTTTCAGGTAAGAAATATTCTAGTTACTGAATGAGTTCTGGTAATGTATTACAACACATTTTCAATATATTGTAATTGAATCAATGCCAAGTGCATTTTGATTTTATTGTATTAATAACAGTCTTATTACTAATCAGGGGAAATGTGGGGGGTTAAAAGAACAGAAAACCTAACCTAATTAAACCTAGCAAGGTTACTACAACTTGCGTCAATTTATCTTGCTTTGGTTATGAATATCAACACCTGTCCCGGATTCTATCTATAATTTTTATGTTATTGTTTTTCCTCTGAATATCTTTATCATAACATCCGTTGTAACTACCATAAATCATTACAATTTGATCATAATTTGATTGCAATTATAGTATGTGTAATACAGTATAAGTAACTTTTGATGTGCAAGGAGAGATTTCGCCAGTAAAAACTCGTATCAGTCGCCGCCATAATTTTGTAAACATCACTATGGCAATTGGCTGTCATAATACTGTAACTGAAACGGGATTGGCTGTAATATCAGTATTCGAATCCTTGCTCGTAATTGATGATAATGCACCAGATTACCTGATCCGGGGTTCAAGTCCATGTTCCGAATATGGGTAATCCACTACAGGAAATCTCGATCAAGGAATTTAGATTCTCAGGCCTGAACGGAGCTCAAATCACCGTTTTGAATTCGGGCCTAAGCATTTTGCTAGCTCAAGGATATTCCCACCAAATTCAACTTTGTCTTTCATTACCCAAATGAAGGCAGAGACTAGCATGTAGATGTGGTTTGCCAGATTTTACAGCTTGCCATAAAATTATGCTGAATTTGTAATATTTCTTCAGTAACTTCATTATCTACAAGTTATGTCACGAGGTTTCGAGACATTGCGTAAATGGAAAGAGCAATTCAAGTTGAGATTTACCAAGGATGTCTTGTATGCCAATGGGTTCTGATAGGATATAATTAAGAGGTAGGGTTGAAATTTACAAAATGGAAGGATGGACTAGTCAAAAGGCTATTGTGAATGTGGCAAAGAAAGTATGGATTAGTGGTTTGGTAGAAAAAGTAAAATGGCAATATGCTGTCAGTAAGAAAAGTGGTGGCAGCTGCAACAAGTGTGGAAGAGAACAAGAGGTGCAGTGTTGTAAAAGGCAGACTGCAGGAGGTTGCAACGTCATATGCACAGGTAACCAGTGTCCATAGCAAGGCTGGTGACACTAATAGGGACCATCAAGTTCTGTTTCCCGAGTGTCATCATCAGTGCTGAAGCTAGAGCTGTTGCAAGAATTGAAAGTGGCTGGAGAATATTTAGGGAGTAGCTGCCTTTGACAGCAAGAGGATCTTCCCTTTACCAGAAATATTTATGCAACTGTCAATAGATGTTACGGTTAATTAAATATAGGTGTTTACAGGAAAAGCATACAAAGGCTTGAGCATGCCGAAGAATGGCGATGGATGTGCGTGTCAAGAAATCCATGCCAAGAGGGTGGCTAGATATTGAACATTTTAGGTTGTGTAAAGGCATTCCAAGAGGACCTAGTCATCGAGATAATAGACTACCAACTGGGTCAAGAGATGCAGAACTGTCAAGAACTAGGGATAGGCCAAGAATGACATTGGGTGTGTTTGCAGAAAATATGACTTAAGATCCTGATAGGAGAGGTTGCAAGAAAGTACATAGTATTATAGCTAGCTGCCATAAGGTGTTATATGGCTATAAAAATTAATCAAGTCATTTTACAAAAAATTCCAACCATATTTAGTTTAGACCAAGATCATGCAAACTTTTTGTATATAGGGCCACAGCCTTTATGCATGGGATGATCACAATTTCTATATGGTTAAATAACTAATGCTAGAGATCTTTCAAGATTTCTTGTGGCATTTCTTTTCCTGCACGATTCAACAACAATCCAAAAAGAATTTGCAGTGGCTTTTAACTTCAAATATAACCTGTAACATACAAAATGTTCTTAACTGCCCAGTCAGTGTATCATGCCACTAATTGGTCTTCACAAGCAGAAAATTTGGTCATGCTATCCATTATACTTCGTTCTTATTAATTACAAGTGTGGGCCACATTGAAAGGTTTGGCCTGTAGGGCAGAGTTGATCATAAAGGCATTTAAAAATTATCAATTTACAAGTTAAAATCTATGCCAAGAAATTATCCAACAAAGCAATTCACACCCATTAACCTTAACTGACCATTATAAAAATGCCCACCCTTCACTTAAAATGTTACTAAAGGTATTAGTATTTCTAGCACTAGTTAAACTGTATATTAAGTAGAAACTCGATAAATCCAATTAATTGCAGCAGACCCCAGTCCAAAAAAATCAAATAAGAGTAAAACCTTGATTAACCAACCACATATTGGGGGAGGAAGGGGACGACTGATAATCCAAAAGGTCCGTTAATAGTAAATAAAGTCTACAGAAATAAAACAAATTTTCAAAGTACCTACCCCATTTAAGTCCCCTCTATTCATTTTTATTCATTTGCCATTCATATTTCAGTAGAATTTGCTTTAAAACATTAACCACTTTAGTAAATAAATGAACCCACAGAAACAGAGAATAAAAAATGGAAGTCAAAGAACATATGGCATCACGTAAATTATGACCAAGTCCCACGTTGCGGATCCGACTCTTTTACACAATTGCAGGGCCTCAACGGTTTCTCTTACTATTGACAACACAACTTACATGTACATTGTTTCTCTTGATTTTTATTTTATTTTAGCATTTCTTTATGGTTCTTTATTACTATTATTACATTATCGCCCCCCAGGCCCCAATGTGGGTCAGTGACCTATGCCAGGGTGGGATAATCCCAGTAAAAAAAAAAGTATATTTTTTTTTTAGGGATCCGGGATCGACTGTTAATCCAAAAGTCGGTTAATTGAGGTTTTACTGTAGTGTTGTATATAGGAGAATGGGGGTTGGAGATAACTGCTTATCTGAACTGTTTAAAGAAAATCAGTGGTTATTACTGCACTTCAGCAACCAAAGTCTAAGTGTACAGCAAGGTTATTAAATATTACGTCAACAATGAAACAAAATATGAAACGGAACTATGGGTTGAAAATCAGACAGAAGTCTGGTTGTCAACAACTGTTGTCAGATTGTTTACTGTAAAGTGTTGAGCAAGTAACCACAAAATTTTAGAATAATAAGTGTAAGGGTATATTGTATGTGAAAGCATGTTTCTGGGAGCAGCTACAAGATCAGGTAGCACAGGTGGGTTGCTATATTAATCATGATGAACCATAAGAGGCCAATCATGAGAATATATTACGGATAAATAAAAAGTTCTTTAGAATGTGGCAACACCTATCTGCCCCAGCCTTCTTGTATACTCTAGTGTCTCAGTTCACGGTAGGCCTATAGCAAATCTGATTAGACAACTGTACAGTATTCAGTAAGTTGGGCATTGCATTGCATTTCATTTCATTATTTTAATTAATCACCATTTCTTAAATCTTAGAATTTCTGGTGACCAGAGCATGTCGAAAAACCTACCGATATATTGGTCTTTATCAAGGTTTTACTGTATTACCAAAGGTCATGAAAAACCCAAGATATTAAGAGGCAGTGAAAATCTGGATTTTGTAAATGGTAAGAAAACTGTAGAATAGAAAACCTTTCTGATTTTATTGGAAAAGTCACTGGTACGGTTCATACATTACTCAAGGACCCTCGGAACCTTCGACACTCACACAACACACTGCGACGGGAAGCATTGTGCCTAGTACAGGGAGAACATTGTCCGTGGAAGACGACAGTAAAGCTAAAATGTATACAACCACAAGGGAATGTACAACATGCATCAGCATTTATCACTATCATCCACTGACCCAGCCAGTGGTAATGTTACTGCTTTATCTTATTATTCCAATTCTCCATAAATAACTAGATTTGTACCATTCCCTATTCCAGTCACAAGGGTTAAATGCCCCCACGTTAAAAAGAGTTAAGGAATGTGGTGATGAAAATACATTAAAGCATAGAAAAAATAGTCTTTGCATACCACTTTGCTCATACATAACAATATAAATGAAAAACTCAACATTCAACATATATTTACTATGAGGTTACCTGGAACGTAACTTCTTAGAAATGTTCCCCCTAGTTACACAATAGGATTAGTTTCCAATTAGTGTGCCAATTAACTAATTTTTGCTAGATCTTTTAATAAGGCAATATACAATTTAATATGTAGGGGGTTCCTTTTGATGTAAACATTAACAATGCAGGTAAACACTAGTCTCCCACTGCTCGGACTTCAGGGGACTACTGATCACCTTCACTGACAGCACCTTTAACCTAGAGTTCATCCTTTGTAGGCACATCACCACCTTCGTCAATTTCTTCTTCATCCTGCCAAGAAAAAATTATTATTATTACTTGAATTTGGACACGACAGTATAACCATTTCAAGTACGTACAGTATTTCCAAACTATAAATAGGGACGTGAAGTTTAGTGTATAAATCAACTACAAAAAGCAACTGCCAAGGTTAAGCATAACCAGTAAACATGCAAGGCAACTAAGATAGTAAAGATTAATAAAGAAATCATGCAAAGAATAAAAAGAATCCATGCAATGATTAATAAAAAAATTTCATGCATGGAAATTTAAGTTTAAAGGCAAGCTTTTATAAAATTGTACCTCCTCTTCGGTGCTCTTGCCCTCAAGGAAGTCAGTGAGAGCCTCCAGAGTCCTTGCTCCATTGTAATCTACCACCTATGGAAGGAAAGCCAAAATGAAGTGGGCAAGTTACTAGCAGAGGAAAGTGCTTATATTAAAAACCGTCCAACTAAAAGTTCTGGTGTACTCGGTACAAATGTACTGTATTCATAATCTTAAAATTTAGACATTAAATACAGCACACCCAAGACTTTTTGCTGGACAATCTGCAAGAACAAGTGAAGAGTGACACTGCTGGTGCTACAGTTGCATGCAACCAACTGCTGATGCCGAAGTTCCTACCTCAATGTCATCTGGGGCAGCCTGGCCATATATACCGCCTGTTTCCAAAAACTTTGAAATGCCCTCCAATGTGCGTTCTCCATTGTATTCAACAACCTAGTAGTCATTGAAATGTTAAAATTCATGCAATCTTGAAATAATTGAAGAAACTTCATATTTATATTGCAAGTGACCAACTTAAAATAATTACAATTTCCTACAACAAAATTCATATAATTTGCTTAATGTACCATATTTTACTGCATGTACGACTCTTAAATTGGTTAAAAATCAGCCTGCAACCTATGTGAAATAGTCTCCCACAAGATAATGAACCCTAGTTGCTGTCTCCAGTAGGCTAAATTCTACCCAACCCAACTCAAATTAAAAATGTGCGAATGCTTACATATTTAATTACTGGTAATTAAAAAATTTGTAAATATAATGTATATCTACAGTATAACTACTGTACTGTACTACTGACAACCCGCGACGATTAAAGACTGTACGCCAGACACCCAATTCTACAAAGGTAGCCACCAAGCAGTAACCATTTCTGAACTCCAGCATTACCATCTCAATGCCATATCTGGAACATTCTTCAATATACAAATACCCAATACAAATGAAGATTCAGATAACTTCTCACATGTTAACATCATTGGCAGCATTGTAGCCAGGTTAGACTTCTCTCTAACCAGGTTTCTGGGCCAAGCTGTTTTTCAACTATTTTTGGGTAGATATACGTAACTTCATTTATTTTTAACGATTACATGCACACACCACCCTACATTGTGAAAACGGTAAGAATAATTGTCCCATGGGAAAATGCCCAAAAGGAATATACATTTCTATGCACAAACATTAACTAGCTTAGTGGGAGGACAGCTGAGCAGTTGGTGTGAGGGAGCGTTGCTCGGGAATCAGTGGCGGTAGTGTCACCGTTGCTTCGGTAAAAGGTGTACATAATTATGTACAGTACAGTATATGCAAATGGGAACTTAAATGTTGCATTTGGCTTTATTAGTTTGGACAATTAAGTATTTTTTGGAGTAATTTACTGGTATTATATTCCTCATTTACTGGTACAAATTGTATATTTTGAAAAACATGGATACAGGAAGAAAATACGGTTCTCCTAAATACTCCCGGCTAGAGTGGGGGAAGTGCGTCTTATGCCATAAAATACGGTATAACCTTATAACCTCTCATAGTCAAAACCCATGTTGAAACTATGAAGACCTGTAACAACAAGGTTACCAGCAATTTATATTCTTCACAAACCTGAAAACAAAAACTTAAAGATCAACTGTTAACATATTTCACTAAGTTCTACAACTTTGTAGGGTAACATTGATAAAATTTTTAATACCTTTTGTAAAGACAAGGTACGCTTACATTACCTACTTTCATCATGAAATCAAATTGGTTTATGAAGATGTTCTAGAAAAAAATTATTGACATGCCAATTGGTTTTAAAATGTTTTCTGAAATTATAGGAAATTTAAGACAAATGTGCCTAACACCACTAAAATAAAACTTAAATTTGACTTCTCTTCTACTGTAATGCAAATAAAGATATATTCAAGATGAATAAATCTTAAGATCATACACATGTTCATTACCTCAGCATTGGATAAACACCAATCATACTAGACTGTATACTAGCCTTGCTTTATGAACTAATGAATGAATCAAGTCCTCCAATTATATAATTGAAAATGTTTCGCAAATCAGAAAATTTGTTCCGATTATGTTCTCGAGTAGACCTGGTGAAAATACAGTAATACCCCGCTTAACGCGGTTTCGCTTAGCGCGTTTTACCGTATGCGCGGTGCCTCGCCAGAGCCGAACTTTCACTTAATGCGGGTTTTTTCCACATACGCGGCGAGTGTCCGGCTCGAGACGCTATTTTTAGATTCGTCCCACCCACCTCTCGCTCCTCCTCCTCCTCCCTCCCGCCTAGGCAAGCCGCACTGTAAGGTTGCGCAGTGTGTGTGTCTTCTACTAACGTTAGAGTTACCCCTAACTTTTAATTTTCCTAACCTAACCTTTATTTTTCCTAACTAAACCTTTATTTTTCCTAACCTAACCTCTTCTATATTACTTGTTTGTTCATACCATCATAAAGTTAAGATAAAATTTTTACTACAACAGTTATGTCATCAAAAAGTGGAGTTTGGGGGTCGGGCCAGTTTCTATCGAAATTAATCCCATATGTTCTGTTGTTCACTTAGCGCGGTTTTCACTTAACACAGTACCCTGTGGGTTTTATTGACAGCGTTAAGCGGGGTACTACTGTACAAGGAACTCTTTCCTCTATAAACCTAGGGGGGCATACAGTAGATGCCAGTGAAAAGTAACAACCATGATGGTGGCCAAACCAAGGAGTAATTAGAAGATAATAGTAACTTCTATATTTAGAATAACCAGAGGGCAAATTGGTTCATGTGTGTATAACTACCCATAGTTCAGATTGAAGGCTGTGGGAACCCATTAAAAATTCTTGTCAATTTCCCAGTTATTTCAAACTGCCATGCTGTAATAATGGACAAGTTGTCAGTTCAGAGTAAACCAGAAATACACAGCCACATCCGTCGAGTGACGCGTCACCAGTTTCCCAGCAGACGTTTAACTAACTGGCCACTGCAGTCGGAAGTAATACAAAGGATGGCCTCTTCAGGCCCCAAATGCCAAGTTCAAGCAAGTTTTAAGGGTGTTTTTTTATGGTCTAAGCCATGGTCATTTTGTAAGTAAAGAAATGGGATGTGAAAAGCAGCTTATGGATAAACTCCCATGTTCACACGGGATTAGCCGATTCTTACCTGGTAGACTTTCTCCAGTTCATTTACAGAGTATTGTATATCAGTACTAGATGGACATACTAGTCAATTTGGAAGTAATGACATTGTCTGGACTGTTTAGGGAATGCCTGATGCTAGGTAAACAAGATTGCTCTTATTGTTTCGATTCACTCGTGAACCATTGGGATATATCATTTATATTAATTAATGGGTAAGTACAGTATTTGGATGCTTAGATTAAAGATCAGCAAAATTGGGTAATTTTTAAGTTTTGGGTCATACCTGTGCTTACAGGTGCAGACTTTCTCCTGGTTTGCGATGCGTTATAAACCATTTTAACCATTTCTATCGGAAGTAACTGGTTTTCAGTGATTTCCGGTAAGTAAAGCTAAACTTAATGCAACTTATCATACCCTAACCTAATCTATGACCTACATTTTCTTATGCAATCTAAAAATGTTTAACAGAAAACCAGTAGATGCATCTTGTTTAAAGTACTTAATCCCAGTTAGAATCTTAAGGTTCCCCAGATGACCAAAACCAAAATACCAATATTGTTTAGACTGAAATTTGTAGTCGGGGCAGCTAACAGCCATTGAATTGGTTGTGATAAGTAAAATATATATATTTAATATAGTATTACCTTGCTGCACAGTAAAGAAAAATTAATTATCTAATTTATTTACAGCGCTAATCAGCCGAGAAGGTTGGACAACTACCAGTTGTCAAGGCATGTGAAAGAAATTTACCAAGAGTAGATTTCTTTAGGATTGTCAAGTACTGCCATCCAGCTATAAAGCACGTTAAATTACATCATCTGATTATCTAAAGCCCATTCCTGGCCATGGTCGTCCCTAGTCCTTCCACAACATTAAATATAGCCTCGGTGACGAAACTTACATTTTCCAGACACGGAGTTATCGGTCTTTTGCATCACTTTGGCACCCAGCAAGTAAATACACAAGATGATACTTGAACTGATTTATTTCAACCAAAAAATAAGGTATGCCTGTGTATATCAACATTGTATATGGCCACAAGTGCTGTATTTCTGCTGGTAACAACACACACCACAGCTGGCTACCTCCAGGCTCCCACTCGGCAGCTCAAGCCAACCTGTGACATTACAACCAAACAGCTTTTCGCAGTCACGTGACTTTTTAGCAACTAACCCCTATTTTTTACACTTTTAAGCCCAATTTGTGTAAGAATATCATTGCCAAAGTGAATTTAAGCGTTTTATTTAGACATTGACCTGCCATCTTACGAAAAAATTCCGAATGACAACTCATCCATTCTGGAAATGTACTACTATAGACTAATTAAAAACATTCAAGACTGCATTGTCAACTGCTCTAGTCATTGGGCCAAGCCAAAATACCACCAGATTAAATGCATTTTTACGGCTATAACCCTTAAAAGCCCGGGCGACACTCCTCTGTCCAGTATAGTGACCCCAGGTGCCACTACATCTAATATTTGCAGCAGTACAGGACTACTTATATAGGATATTTATTTACTTGGCAACTCGACTCCCGTGTAATTTGTCTCAAGTCACATGGTCATTACCCACCAGCTATCACGATGGATGCACGTCCTTCAATGTCTCGTGACCTGCCTCGCTGCTCCACACCTGAGCAAAGGTGTTTGCTCAACAGTGCCATTTATCAAGAGTTGCCATATTCAAGTGGCTTCAATTTATAAAGTAAAGTACTGAGTGAAGAACACCATGATAGGGAAGAATTGAACCCAGAAGTAGAGCTTGTCAAAGCATCCAGCAGCAAGGACAGATAGACAATGGCGGTTACTCCTGCATCCCACCCCACCCGGGATGCCATGGATGTAAGGGACCATGTGCACGAAGCCCCAACGTTACTGTGACCACTAATTTGACGCCTAAATGTCAGTTTTTGACCATGGTATTAATTTTTTTACCGGAATATACCCACATGGGAGGGGTCTGGCAGATCTTACGTTGCCCGGGGCATAAATGTTAATGGAAATCTAACAATTCATAATTACTGCCAACAGCAGTCCATAGTACAAATTTAACTGGCTGCAAGTCTACAACACTTACGAACAAAATTTCATTACAATTGTGTAGCGGGCCAAATGAAGACTGCCTGCTAACAAGAGTACTGTACAGTATCACAAATTTACTGTACAAACCATTGTGAAAAGCTAGTTGGCTATTTACAGTGGACCAAACTGTACTGCCATGTTACTGGTTTCCCAAAACATTTTGGTGGAAAGAGCCCTTTCATTGATAACATTTACTCCGAGAAAGTATATTGTTCATAACTTCAAAACTCTTAAACCAGTCATTTCAAGTTTTACAAACTACACTAATTTCTTACCTCATTGGTTTCCTTTTTATACAATTTAAGTGTAGGGAAGGATTGAATCTTCGTATGCTCTAGTTCATTTGCAGTGGCATCCATTTTACCAATAACAATACTATCGTGGTCCTTGAATTTCTCGCCCAGCTGGTCATAGATGGGAGCCAGCTGCTTGCAGTGGCCACACCACGGTGCATAGAATTCCACAAGGACATCTTTTTCCTTGTTGAATGCTACTTCATCGAAGTTCGCTGCAACCAGGACCTGTCGAATACATAATATTAATATTACAATGCATTAACTTAACACCATACTTGAAACATTAAGGTAAGATTTACAGGATGCACATTTCACTAAGCCCCTGATGGGTAAAATATCCAAACTGGTGACATTTTTAAACTAGTACCATATACTGTACAATATTTCAGTAAAACTGTACAGGTAAACCCCGCATTATGGAAACCAGGGTTACGGAAATCCATTCATATGGAATTATATTACCATGACCAAAAAATTTGGGATAGGGCCAAAAAAATTAGCCCTTTTGAAATTTTTGCAAATTTAAAAATAAAAAAATTCACTGGTTTTAAAATTTATTTCATGTGGACTCTGGGTAGTTGCTACTAGACCATTGGAAGATGCCACACTACCTGGCACAATAACAAGGGCACTCAGAATTCTGTTCTCAGCTTGTGTTCAGGAATGTATTTGCCCTTTTGGTTAATTTATAAAAAAAATAAATGAATATATCTAAAAAATTTCAAAAAATCAAAAAAACGTACAAAAATTTCGATTTAGGAGAAAAAATTCACCAAAATCTATTTTATTGTGTATTCTTGGTGGTAGGTACAATACTCTGCACGGCTGCCCAGCACAACAATGGCGCTGCTCAGTTCAAGTTTTCCCCAACTATCAGTTTTGTGTAGGTGTACCCTCATTAAATATAAGGAAAACAGCCAAGTTAAAGCGAAAGCAGCAGTGCTAAGAGATTCCATAAAGGAATTATGTTGGACATCAAACTATCTTTTAAAGAGGTAACTCCCAGTAACTCCTATCACACCACCTCATGCAGCACTTAACATTTCTGGAGTAACATTCAAGTGTGCACATTTGTCAAGTTATATGAATGATCATTTCACGCGTTTAAAACTGTTTATTTTCATTCACATGTGCTTGTATTAAGTTTATAGGCCAATTTTTCTTTGGAAGGCATCTCAAATTATATAATGGGACAAAGAAAAATGGTTCTGCGTGACGGAATTTCCAGATATGGAAAAAAATTCAGGAACGGAAACCTTCCATAACCCAGGGATGCCTTTATTGTACTATAAAGACTAATAATATTTGTTTTTAAATCCCATTAAAGTGATTAAATAATTTCCACTTTTTTTAAATTTTAATAGCAACATTCATATCCATCTGACAGGACAGCTGAATATTAAGTTACTGCACATTTGGTTAACCACCATCATAAAACTGACATTAGCCATCGCATATCAGTAAATTTTTTATTTTACAGTACGTACATAGATCCATTGTACGTACAACGGTCATTACTCTTACTCTGGGGGGGATTATTCTTTGGTGGATTAATATCCTATGGGGATGGGATAAGCAACTAGCTGCCAAGTGATATTTAGAAGTACAGTACCAATTCGGCCACCTTGCACCCTAGCAAAAACAGACGATTCCAGTAGTAAAGGCATGCCATGGCACATAGTAAGGTACCGGTTTAGTTCTGTAGTCCCGGCTCTACATTTCATTATGGTATAAAATAGCATCTTAATCAGTTATGTCACCACAACAGCAATTACTGTACCTGTAAATACGGGGGATAGATATTTGCATGCCGCCGTTAACTGACCAATACATTTTAATCGACAGTAATACTCAAATTACCAAAAAACTAGTAAATATAACCAAGTGCAAGTTTCTAGTCTATTAGAGAATTTCCTAAATTTAGTTTCTTACAAAACTAACTAGATTAAGCATTAACATTGTATCCCCAGATGCAATAGTCACCTCTTAGATCTTGGTATTAAATTAATACCAATTTAAAAAAATTTAAATTGCACGTTTTGAAAAGTCCATTGTGCCAGGCCACATACTTTAGTACCTCATTGCTTTCCTACTCTACAAAAAAGGAAAACATAACCTGAACCTCAGCCATCCACATCTAGCATCTCAAAAGCTCCCTTCCTCCCCCATCACCTGCTCTGTCATCTGATTCAGATGACCCCCCCACCCACTAGTTCCCACATGCCATCCCAGCTATCATTGAACATAAATGTTAGCAATATAAATAAATCTTTTCTTACTATATTAGGTTTGCTTCTGTTATTGTAGGTTATATTTTTATAAAACTGAAGGAAACTGATAAACAAATTAGTTTCTAGGGAGCATTTCCCCTAACCTCTGCCATTTCCTTTATTTCTTATGGGGTAATTAAGTTTGATTTACAAGGCTATTCTCACGAATTTAACTATCTTGCAAATCGAAGTGGCTGTAAACAATGTCCAGTACATATATAGCTACCAAGAAAATGCTATACAACAGTGGATGCACTTATGACAAGTGTGTACTTTATCCAAGTAATGCAAATCATTATGATGAAAACCATTTCTTCCCTAACTATACAGTACTTTGCATAACTATAAATCTCTCAACACTCACCTTGACTGGCTCCTTCTCCCAATCTTCAGGAATCTCCTGAGAGAGAAGATGTTGCCTTAATTTCCCATCCAAGAAACTCTGCACAAAACTGACCAATGCACTCTCACTCAGATCATAGGACTCAGGCTTGTACTTTGCCATGTCTTCCTCCAGTTTGATTATGCGAAGCCCGGGAACCTATGAAGAAAATTCATCCAAGATATCAATATGAAGGATTAAAGACAAATATAAATCGAGTCTATAACCTAAGCAACATACCAATTTTAGTATTGTTACTTAAAACCACTTTCACATTACCATAACTCACCCCACTAACTGGTATGTATTCCAATTCCTCCTAAACCAAATTACATTCCAATTCTATGAATGTACTTGTTGAATCAACTACCCTAAATATGTTGCTAACAAACAAGTTATAAAATTACCAGATCTTACCTCTTCCTTCTTCATGCCAAAGAATTCCAAGATACGAGAGTGGTCCTCCTCATCAGTGTTGATGGTCACGAACAGAACTTGGCCCTTGAAACCCTTAGCAGCACCACGGCAAGCCTCCAAGTGTGCATCATAGTGGCCAGCTTCCTTTGACAAGAATACGAGGAGATGGGATTTGATCTCTCCACCAAATATCTTTGAAGCAGTCTCATGGTTGAAGTCGACTACCAGAGGAAGTGAGTTCGCTGCAACAAACTTAGTTATTTCTGCTTCTGTCACATCTCCGTCATACACATTCTTGCCCTCATCAAAGTCCTTAAAGAGAATTATACCATCAGCCTCCAAACCATATTCAGAGAACACTGCTGCCTCTGATGTAATACCAAATGGGAAATCATCAGTAGAAGAAGCTGCAGCCAAGAATTCCTTTGCTTCTGCAGATTCCTGGTCCTTGAAAAATCCAATGACAACCACTGGTTTTTCTTCAATGAAGGCTTTGACATCTTCCACTGATGCAATAAGCTTTGCAGGAGGGCCCGTCTTCTTCAGGAGCCAGCTAACGATTTCATCAGCCTGACGGCCACCATTGTATTCAATGGGTTTGCCAGAGCGGAAGAACTTGAGGGTGGGATAGCCACGAACACCATGTTCTTCTGCCAGTTCTGTTTCTTCTGTTGCATCAACTTTAGCAAGTTTAATGGCAGATTCTTGTTCTACTAATTTGCCAGCAGCTTTTACATACTCAGGAGCAAGGGCTTTGCAATGACCACACCATGGGGCATCTGCAAAAAATAACACCATTCAATGTGAAACATTATTTCATCCTAAAGATTAAGAGCTTTAATTTAGAGTACTGTACAGTACTGAAAAAATAGTAAAAATTTATCCTGTACAAATGTTCTAAAATGGTCATCAAACTTTGGAAACTATTTCTACATGTAGAAGCTATGGCCAGCAAAACCCTCATTTGATTAAAGATGTAAAGTTGCAGACAATATAGTACTATGTGGTGTATACTGCAGCTTTCCTTTTGTCCACTACAAAAAAAATAATAGAAGGGAAGGCAACTTTTCACCAGAAAGATTCAATAGAATTTTTTTTTTAACAGATTTTGTTTGGACGCTATAAATAAAAAATTTCCTATTAACTTTAGTTTTCTTCTACCTTCAATCACAAATTAACTGTAGTGGGCAAGGCATAAATGAAGTGGGCAATTATGGGGTAAAACTGCAAAAACCTGATCGTATAGCAGTAATTTCATGTGTACGTGCTTTGTATACAAAAATTATTTAGCATAAATATCCTGCCATTCATTCTCCAGTGGCATCTATTGTTCCAGTCCGCTCATTAAAACTAAATTTGGAAATGCGGACTTTTGAACAAGTACAAAATGCTGGCAGATCTGTTCGGTTGTTTCAATACCAGAAATATTGGTTCGATCGTCCTTCAATCTAAGTGGCTTCACTCTCCTAACCTTGCGTTCTCCCTGAAGGAGACATTTGCCCTCTTACAAAATGGCATCCATTATGTCAACATGGACTTGTTGGAATTATGGTCAAATGTTAAAGATGTGGAAGGGAACCAACATTAAAAGGAAAAATTACCTACTCAAGGGTACCAGTCAGATGCCATCACTCTTATTGACCCACCTTAATATCAAGGTAATGTTCTTTTGCAGTTACTGGGGTCTGGAGGGTGTAGCCCAGCTGTAAGCAACGTTATAAATACTGTACCAGGTATGGCTAAACTTTGTAACCTGCAGTCGTTCATGTTTTGAATGTGTACAGCCGTGGCAGTCAATGTTCTGGGCATGTACCGCCATGTACACACACAGGTACACAAAACGTTAATTATCTCGCTTAATCATAATTTGCACCAGAAATGCCAAAGGGTAAATATTCATCCATTAGCTGTCCCCAGGTTTAAGTATGAGAATAGGTTCATTTGGTATTTTGCGGGCATTTTACTCAAATCTGACCATTTCCTGTGCAAATTAGCGGTTTTGCAAATATCAACTTTTTCACTTGACAAACTGCTAATTTGCATAGGAATGGGGATCAGATTTGAGTAAAACAAAAAATTCATACCAAAGGAACAAACCTATTTTACCTACTTAACCTACAAGGAGGAGGAGGAGGAGGAAGAGGAAAGGAGACAAGTGACTCCGTGAGTTTAGCCTCGAGTAAACTTGGTGGGAACCTGTGGACAGCCAACAGGCGAATATTCACCGAAATAGCCTGAATTTTCAAAATTACAAGACAAGATTCATTTAGTGACAACTTAAGTTAAATTTCCATAAGTAAAAAAGGTTAAATCTCGCTTGTACGTAATTTTGTCAGAAATAACATTGAAGAAAAGCATCTTTGAATTTTCAAAACTACTCATTGAAACCATAGTACAGTGGTCCCTCGGTTAACGAGCACAATCCGTTCCAGCAAGTTGTGCGTTAACCGAAAACCCGTTAACCGAAACCATGGTTTCAATGGGTTTTTGGGTAATTGGTTCCAGCTCAACAAAAATTGCCTAAATTCAGCAAAAAAGGTAGAAAAGTACACTTACTTTGAGGTGTGTAAGTAGAAGGCTCCTGGATGATGGGAATTAGAATGGGGGTGGAGGAGAAGGGATAAGAGAAAGCATTGGGGTGGAAAAGAAGTCACCCCATGGCACCATTTCACCCATAAAATTTTAGTTCTCTTGGTGTAATTCAAGATTATTTTCTTTAACTCAACACTGCACTGCATTATATATTGTCAATATGTAAAATAAATTTCAAAATGACCAATAATTTGCTTGAAAACAAAAGCCTTTAGTTGAAGAGAGTCAAGCAAGATGTTACCTCCACTGAAAACAGAGACTGACGCCTGTCTGGCGTGTTAACATGCTGGATGGCACGCCAGAAACTAGTTTCTTTACCTTCAATTATGTTCAATAATTGTTAAAATGACTAAAAAAGTTAATATTAAACTTTTAAATTTATTGAATCGTACAAACTTGATATTTACTTAAATAGTAAGGAATTTACGCCCTAAAACCGATTACTGTATTGGCAGACTAATACTACAGCTGGTGGACCACCATATGCAAGCGAAAACATGTTGAAGTCGGCTCGTAAAAAACTCGTTAATCGAGGGATTGCTCGTTAACCGAAGTTAAGAATCTTATGGAAGGTAAATCGTTAACCGAAATCTCGTTAACAGAGGGATCACTGCCTATAAAATTCCCGAGATTCATATAGTGGCAACACGAAATATAAAAAATATTCACTTTTGCTACACTAGCCAAAAACAGACCTACTTAAGAACTATAGCAGTTAATCCATGAGCCTCGGTAGTCACAATTGTAAAAAAAAATTTTACTCTAGAAAGTTGTTACTATTTTATACCAGTACCGTACAATGATCCGTCCACTCAAAACTAACTCCATTCTATATTTGTTCATTAACCTATACTCTACTAACCTAAGGCATGGCATTTAAATAAAATTACCGAATTATATTCTAAACAAACCCTAAACCACCACTCAAGATGATTTATGAATCATTGCAATTAAATCTAGGATGAAAATTTAAGATTGCAACAGCATTAGAAAAGCTAAATTTACACCAATACAAAAAGTATTAAACTTCATAACTATTTAGGATAAACAAGCTCAGTTAAGTGTATCTTCGTCAGCAGAACTACAGTACTGTACATACATAGTCAACAAAACTACAGGACGTACAGTTTCTCCACTTAGGAACCATAATTATTTTCTCAGGAATCAGATTCAACCTATTCAAAGGGAGTTATAATAGCAAAGTAAACTAGTACATTCGTGACACTTTACAAGCATAGTAAGCAATTCAAATTTACATATCGCCCAACTTAGGTATTCTTGGCTAATTTACATTTAAGTGTGGAAAAACCCAATATTTTAAGGCTTGGCATTCCCCAAATCTTCCCGGTAATAGCCAATATGACAATATTTTACACTAACGGGTTCCTAACTTTTTTCACTTTATAATATTCTCAAGTTGAAAGTAAAAATTCTTTAGCTTATGTAATTGTTTTTATTTTAAATCTATTTATATTTTATATGTAAGCTTTGGTGATTTTATTAATCGGCTGTCGGAATTTCATTTTTTTCTTCAAATAATTATCAAGGCCCAGTGGCCATGCGGTTCTGCGAGAAGGTGATTAGGATTGGGAACCCTGCACTAACCATACTGTACTGTTTACATCCGGAAACTTGCACAAACCAATCATCCTTGTCAATATTTCTTAACACTTCAGTGAAGCAACCAATCTAGATGCCAGTGTTAAGCCACTTTACTGCGTGGACAAATAAATCGGACTTCAAATTTCATTCAGCCTAGGCCAAGGCCCTCGTACAGATTATCCAAACCATTTAGTTTTTTCTATACAATTTCATTAGTCAAACTCAACTGGAAATTACTTTCAAGCGCTAAGATTATCTAGCCACTTAAGGAATATACATCGCGCTTTGGTTGGCTGGAAGCAGGTGTGGAGGGACGCCAGTGCCGGCTGCTGGGGTTAATAACCGCGCTTTCACCACACCCACACCTCCGTTCAGTCTCCGCTTACAATTGTCAACTCTTAACAGGCGAGTGCAAAACAAGAACCATATGTATTAATTATCAAATTCAAGTCAAAGGCTTTAAAATGGAATCTACAGATAAACTTCACCTTCGTTTAAAGGCGCAACCTCCAACTTCCTTAATGAACGATTTTACGGTACCGTAAATTTTAACAGTTCGTAACGCTACGTTTCTCAGGTACTTTAAATTCAGCAACATAAAAGTATAACTTAAATACCTGACATGTATTATACCGCTAAATACTAGCCCTTAGCTTACTGGCTAGTATACCGCTAAAGTATGCTTCCGATCGCCCAAGCGGCTAACGAGCCGATCAGTGAAGAGGAAAAAGCAAAAGAGCAAAAGGTTACCCCCAGTTAAAAGACGAATAGTAATACAGCTGAAAGCTAACTGACAAGCTAAGTTTGGACCGTTTATAAGACTATAGTAAGCATTAACAACTTACTACAAGTAACTTTCAGCAAAATTTTCCGATAAAATCTATTTCTACCGCGTCACTTAATCTTCTGCCTTTATATAAAACGAGCAGTATTCCAGGTTCCTTTTTTTAATCCGACTTGGGGAAACCAGTTACAATTCTGTTTATTCCCCCATCCCCATTTAACACATTCACCATCCCCGTCAAGATGACAACTAAAGAACTACTCTTCGTACACAAGAAAATAAGGAGCCTGTAATTGGCTGGTTGGCCTGTGCATGGCAACTTCTGTCGAGTTACTACCACTATCACCCATGAATCTATCTAGCCTCCTTTTAAAACTTTCCAGCGTCCCAGCACTTACTACAAAGTTGCTAAGCTTGTTCCACTCGTCCACCCTATTTGTGAACCAGTTCCTCCCTATCTCCCACAAACCCAAACTTGGCCAACTTAATCCGTTGCTACGAGTCCTATCATGCTCGGATATTATAAGAACTTTATATCTCCTTTATTGATTCCTCTCACCCACTTAAATACTTCTATCATATCTCCCGTCTTTCTAGGGAATGCAAGTTTCTTTAATCTATCTTAATAAAGGTTTCCAAGTCCCGGAATCACTTCGTCATTCTTCGCTATCTTTGTTACTAACACTGGACAGTTCAAAAGCGTCACCGTCTGCTAGAATAGTTCTATCGATAAAAAAAACAAAATACGCATTGCATTTAATTACAAGTAAAAATGTTGATAAAACAAGGCATCTGATAAGCATGAAACCTGTCTAAGTGATTTTCAAGAGCAGATGGGCACTAATTAGTCACACATACGGAAGTAGATCAGACATACTAACCATTTTATTAAGCGACTAATCAAGTCACATGAACCGTTTATTCACATCACTTACGTCTAAATTCTATCGTGTATAGGCAGGTGGTTTACATTGCATGCACTTTTTGACTTCAAAATTTAATAGGTGTGAAAGTGTACGAATATTTATCTAATCCGTTTACGGACTACAATATCCAAGTTCGCATACGTTAAAATTCACAACCCCAATAGCCCCACTCTCTAGGCTGCGTGCAGAGGGATATTTTACGGTAAATATTCATCCATTGGCTGTCCTCAGGTTTTAGTAAGATTTGTTTGTTTGTTTCTCAAATCTGACCATTTAATTTGAAAATTCGTAAAACAAAAATTAATTCCTTTTTAACAAACTACTAATTTGCATAAAAGTAGGTCTTTGTACAAATCCAAAAAATACAAACCTATTCTCATACCAAAGGCACCAACCAACCTACCTAACCTACAGTACAAGGAGGAGACAAGTAGAAGTGAGGAGTATAGCCTCAGGTAAACGTGGGGGGGGAACCTGCGGACAACCAATGAACTATTAAAATCTTACTTTTAAATAGTATAAACAATGCATTCATGGCATCGCAAGCACACTGACCAGAGTCTGGAAGAACGTCAAGTCACGTGTCCATCGATTCATAGGTTTCTATCCTAGACGCAGACGTTCCCGCATATCCTACCCGGCACATTATGTATATTCAGTCGCCCTAAAATGTTGCCATTTACAAAAATATCATAAATATACTGGATTCCGGCGTACTGCCTGCTTGAAAACATTGCATGCACCCCCTCATCCTCGCGGTTCCCACCCCCCCCCCCAAACCACACACCCCTTCTGCCACCGCCACGTCATCCCTTGTACCGTCCCGTTCAGCCTCTCCCCCCCCCCTCATCAACTAAACATTACCTTCACTTTAAATATCAGGCAAACAATTTACTTCAACAAATAAATCGGGGCTAGTTTACCTTATTCATAACACCCACGGGCTAATCCGTAGAGTCTGTGAACCAATCGTTTGTTCACCATGTGATCTATATATTAATGTATTCCTAAATATATTTTGATATTTTATATATCGAGTTATCAGGCTAATTAAAAAAAACACATAATACAATAACTTTCCCACCACCTTAAATCCGGTTGCACCCACCCACATCAGGACACCGGGAACCACGGGAGGGAAAAAACGAGACCAGATGGCTGTACTTACAAAACTCTACAAGGACGAATTCGTTATCTTCGGTGGCCTTCTTGAAATTTCCTTTCGTCAACACCAGCACTCCCTCGTCATCAGTGATCTCCTCATCGGCAGAGACCGCCAGGGCCAGGGTGGCCAGCAAGACAGCAAAGGTTACTCCCACCCTCATTGTTCGAGTTGTTGATACCGACTGGACGAGTTAGTGTAGGAAGCGTCGCAGGGCGCAGACGTGGCCATTCGTGGGCTATCCCCATTGGCCCTTGTACGACGATACCTTTACTCATATGTTTAGTTATTTTATTTTTTTTAACTATTATATTTCTTTAGTTAAGTCTTAGGAAAGTAGTAAAAATATATATAAAACATTCATTGCTACTATTTGCCTATGATCTTGAAGTTTCGGTGGAAAAATCGATCATATATGTTAATGCTTTAGTTATATCATCTGGCAGTGTCTGGCATATTTTTATGACGTCACTGCAATGTGTCAGTCTAGGTGGTGCATTGTGGGTAGTGTGGAGTTCCCGGTACTTTAAATCTCTCAACTAATAGGAAAACAGTGTTTTACACCTGCATGTAGTAAACATTTTTTTAATCGAGTGTTATTAAATAAAACTAAGATACGCAATACATTCATGATAGAATGAATAGATAACGCATGCACGAAATTAAGTAAAAAAAATATTTCTAAAAATTCTTGAAGACAAATGGGTACTTTAATAATTCATCAGTGCAAACATTCGATTCGTTTGATAGAAGACATGAACAGAAATAGCAGGGTACTGTATAAGTAATCTACTTACTGGCTGTGATTAATATTGACTTTTTAGCAGAGTGATCATCCTCACACCCTCACAGAAATATAAAAACGTGTATATTATATATATATATATATATATATATATATATATATATATATATATATATATATATATATATATATATATATATATATATATATATATATATATATATATATATATATATATATATATATATATATATATATATATATATATATATATATATATATATATATATATATATTAGGGTGGTCCAAAATATCACATATTTGTATACGTTTTCTCCACAAGGTTTATTTTTGTCCATTAGGTACAAAATGCATCCCAGAAAAAAATTGGATCATTTAAAGCATATTTAGAGGTCAATCCAATGTCCTCTTTTTTTCCATTTAGTACGTAATAAGGATTTTTCGGGGCTAGATAAACACATTATAAACACATTGTCTTTATTCAGCAAAATACAATTATAAGTTTTACAAATTACAAACTAAATAACTCTAGAACACCAATACACATTCTTTATTTGTATCCCTTCATCATAGCAGCTTTGCTTGCCGTTGGTAACTTCTTGCGATGAGCTGCAACAACCTGTAAAAGGTACTGCTTTTGGTCCTCATTTTGCGTTATAGACTCATTATAACGCTCTATGAGAGCAATTGCCCTCTCTGCGCTGTCATTCACCACCTTCATATTTATCGCACGATCTCTCATTGTGATAAACACTTCATCGTCTTTCCATGTTTTGGGATCCTTACTCAAGAACAGTTGTGCTCTTTCTTTGCCATCTAGTGTAAGAACATCAAAAATATCTAATGTACGCTCAGTAACAAATGAGGCCACATTACTGATAGGAGTTTCATCAGATAGGACAATACGCCTTGAAAAGTCCTGTTTTTTTGGGCACTGAAAGTTTTGTACCATACTCTTCTTGGTTTCAGTATCGATCCTGTCATCAAATAAGCTTAGACCGATAAGATGTTCTGATAGATACCAGAGATGTCGGCTAATTGCTGCTTGTGCTGCGTGTGCAACTTTCTCATGAGGATATTCCTTTAAAACCTTCATTAGCTGCAAATCACTGAATGGAGCTCGAACAGCCATTGGTGCTTCATGCCAGAATCTCACATACATTATGCTCACAAACAAAGCCAGTTGTGTGATATTGCTTTCTTCCCGTGTTGATAGTGTGAATTGATGTTTGAACAGATAGATTTTGAGAGCGTAGATTCCTTTTGCCATCCACCTTGCATGGTGTGTAGGACCAGGAACTCGAAAGGAAACCTTACTACTTGGCAGTCCACCAAGAAACAAAAGAGCTAGTTCTAGAAACTCCCTATAATCACCTCGTGGCTGATTATCCTGCAGGGCTACTGGCAAATATTCAAGCAACTCCTTCCTTAGAATTTGAAGCATTGGGTCCTCAAACATGCTTTCTGGTGCTGGAATGAAGTCATTGAGCGAAATGGACCTCCACTGCTTTTTGAAGCGCTTAAACAGAATTGTCTCAGGACTTCCAGTTGACCCACAGATCAAACTGAAGACATCGCTTAGCATAATTTCTAGCACATGGTGTCTGCATGCTATCCAAACAAGTTCCTGTTCCAGTTCATCTTCAATGCGGACACATGCTCCACGATGTAATCCTGTATTGGAAGCAGTAGTATCAAATACAAGTCCTTTAACCAATTTCTCAACATTCCATGATTTAATTGCTTCCAAACATGCTTCGGCCTGTGCTTCTCGAGTTTCTCTCTCTTTTTTGGGTACTCCTAGCAGCTTCTCTTGTCCATTAATGGTAACCCTTGTCTGTGTTTCCTGTTTCAACCTGTCATTGTCAGTCCCTATGACTCAATACTTGACTCTTTGCCCTTTCCAAATAGGCAACTAGGCTATATACATTGAAATATACCCAATATAATGTGTTGTGTATATTAAGACTGTATCATGCGGACAAGAAAATTCAGTCCTACACTACAAGTATAATATGCAAAATGGATTGACCTCTAAATGTTAATGAATATGGATAAAATTTTACAGACCTTATCTATGAACCAAATGGACAATTTTAAGGCTTGTGGAGGCAATATATTACTACTTATATTTTTTACCATATAGTTTTGGACCACCCTAATATATATATATATATATATATATATATATATATATATATATATATATATATATATATATATATATATATATATCCGATCTGTAGTGATGATGGATGGTTTTATATGTAGTGATGATGGGTGGTGTTATATGTAGTGATGATGGATGGTGTTATATGTAGTGGTGGTGGTGACGGTGGTAGTGATAGTGGTGGTGATGGTGATAGCCGCATGTTTGTGGTGATAGTGGTGGTGGTAGAGACTGGTTGATAGTAGTGGTAATGATGATGGTGGTAGTAGTAGTGGTAGTGATGATGGTGGTAGTAGTGATGGTGGTGCTATATGTACTGATGATGGATGGTGTTATATGTAGTGATGATGGATGTTGTTATATGTAGTGATGATGAGTGGTGTCATATGTAGTGATGATGGATGGTGTTATATGTAGTAATGATGGATGGTGTTATATGTAGTGATGATGGATGGTGTTATATGTAGTAGTGATGGATGGTGTTATATGTAGTGATGATGGATGGTGTTATATGTAGTAGTGATGGATGGTGTTATATGTAGTGATGATGATGGATGTTATATGTAGTGATGATGGGTGGTGTTATATGTAGTGATGATGGATGGTGTTATATGTAGTGATGATGGATGGTGTTATATGTAGTGATGATGGATGGTGTTATATGTAGTAGTGATGGATGGTGTTAGTGTGATGGATGGATGATGTATGGATGTGATGATGATGGATGTGTATGATGGGTGGTGTTATATGTAGTGATGATGGATGGTGTTATATGTAGTGATGATGGATGGTGTTATATGTAGTGATGATGGATGGTGTTATATGTAGTGATGATGGATGGGGTTATATGTAGTGATGATGATGGATGATGTTATATGTAGTGATGATGGGTGGTGTTATATGTAGTGATGATGGATGGTGTTATATGTAGTGATGATGGGTGGTGTCATATGTAGTGATGATGGATGGTGTTATATGTAGTGATGATGGGTGGTGTTATATGTAGTAATGATGGATGATGTTATATGTAGTGATGATGGATGCTGTTATATGTAGTGATGGTGGATGTTGTTATATGTAGTGATGGGTGGTGTTATATGTAGTGATGATGGATGATGTTATATGTAGTGATGATGGGTGGTGTTATATGTAGTAATGATGGATGATGTTATATGTAGTGATGATGATGTTGCTATAGTGATGATGATGATGGATGGTGTTATATGTAGTGATGATGGGTGGTGTCATATGTAGTGATGATGGATGGTGTTATATGTAGTGATGATGGGTGGTGTTATATGTAGTAATGATGGATGATGTTATATGTAGTGATGATGGATGCTGTTATATGTAGTGATGGTGGATGTTGTTATATGTAGTGATGATGGGTGGTGTTATATGTAGTGATAATGGATGATGTTACATGTAGTGATGATGGGTGGTGTTATATGTAGTAATGATGGATGATGTTATATGTAGTGATGATGTTGTTATATGTAGTGATGGTGGATGGTGTTATATGTAGTAATGATGGATGGTGTTATATGTAGTGATGATGGATGTTGTTATATGTAGTGATGGTGGATATTGTTATATGTAGTGATGATGGATGTTGTTATATGTAGTGATGGTGGATGTTGTTATATGTAGTGATGATGGATGGTGTTATATGTAGTAATGATGGATGGTGTTATATGTAGTGATGATGGGTGGTGTTATATGTAGTGATGATGGGTGTTATTAAATGTAGTGATGATGGATGTTGTTATATGTAGTGATGGTGGATGTTGTTATATGTAGTGATGATGATGTTGTTATATGTAGTGATGGTGGATGTTGTTATATGTAGTGATGATGGATGTTGTTATATGTAGTGATGGTGGATGTTGTTATATGTAGTGATGATGGATGTTGTTATATGTAGTGATGGTGGATGTTGTTATATGTAGTGATGATGATGTTGTTTTATGTAGTGATGGTGGATGGTGTTATATGTAGTAATGATGGATGGTGTTATATGTAGTGATGATGGATGGTGTTATATGTAGTAATGATGGATGGTGTTATATGTAGTCATAATGGATGATGTTATATGTAGTGATGATGGATGGTGTTATATGTAGTGATGATGGATGGTGTTATATGTAGTAGTGATGGATGGTGTTATATGTAGTGATGATGATGGATGATGTTATATGTAGTGATGATGGATGCTGTTATATGTAGTGATGATGGATGGTGTTATATGTAGTAATGATGGAATGATGGAT